AAAAAGAAAAACAGGGTTTGCCCCTTGGACTAAATGGCATGATCCCTGTAAAACAGAATGAAAGAAAAAAACCATAAATCAGTTTTACCTCATTAACTACAATTCCTGTCTCAAACATTAAAGTCCAGAGAAGAAGATCACTGCACTATTCCTGGGGGCAACGTGACCTGTCGCCACCCCACAGGATAGGCAGCTCTCTTGGGAACTGGCATGGGAGGGCTCTGCACAGCAGGGGCACAGCTGAGAATGTGGTTAAATGTGTCGGATGGGGAGGTCAGCAGGTCTCTCGGTGAAGACCACCAGACAGGAAGAAGCCCCCGCCCTCTGACAGGAACATGTACTCCAGGTCCCCAAGCGGCTCATTTCAATTCTTGTTAATCCAGTAGCCTCACTGCTACCCCAAAACAGGAGACTGCTGAGCCAGTCCCGGATAAGGGAGGGATGTGGCTTGGCTGCCTCAGCTAAGCCTGTAGAGAGCCCCAGGAAATCCTTCAACTTACACTGCAAAGCAAGTGCTACAAGCCAAACGTCACTCACCAGTCTGTCCCGCTTGGTGGCCCATTCTAAAGAGAGCAGCGGCGACTTGGAGATGGATGATGCTTTGGTCTGCATGATGGGGTTGAAGGACCATACCTTGATGACCCCATCTACATCTAGGCTGGCCACCCTCCTCCCGGAGCAATCCACCCTGAGATGAAAGAAAAAGGGCCGTCAGCATGCTGGCCTCATCTGTCTTCCTCTTCACTGACACCCAATGATCGCTTTTCTTTTCTGACTTTCCTACTGTACTGAAAAATAATCCCGAAAGGCCTACTCACAAAAGACAGGTGTAGACTATTTCTAGAAATATTCATTCATTCATTCATCCAGAAATGCTTACTAAGCCCTAATCATATGCTGAGCTCTGTGGGAAACACCGGGGACAGGACAGTGGGCAAGACTAGCGGTGCCTGCCCTGGGGCACGTGCAGTCTGTGGAGAGTTAATCTATTTAGATTTCCTGTGTCTAACTCCAGAACAGCTCAAGAGCCCCTGAGAGAGCATCAGGGCCGTCAAAACAAGAAACCCACCTACCCCCTGAACATTACTCTGAGTTTTTTCTTGAAAGGCCATGCTTTTACTGTGTTTAAGTAAAAACTTGTAAGTGGTAAACATTTACCTAAAAGTACCAACATAAAGCAAATTAAGATTGAGTCTTAGGGATTAAAATAAAGGGTAACCTGTTCCTAAAACTCAGAGAAATAGAGAGGGCAGAGAGGCTGAGCAGTTCAATGGCAGTTGCAAGCAAGGTCCCGGAGGGGCAGCTGACTCTGCAGGGGTGGCCATGGCCCTGCAGGGACCATCCCTTCACCTTTCTCCCTCATCCTCCTACTGACTACAGCTCCACCTACACGGCCTGAAAATCCAGGCTTCCCAGCACTTTCTCCACCGGCCCAGGCCCAAACCCACCTGCAGTGCATGATGGACGAGTGGTGTTCTCCGTACTCCTCCTGCCCCAGCACGATAAAGGGCCGCTCGGGGTTGGCCCCGCCGCCTTCTGGGCCTGCTGCGAAAGCCCGTGTCAGCGGCTCCACTGGCTCCATGTGGAACTCTGCGCAGGACTCTGCCTCCGGGCCACCAGCTTCCTGCTTCTTCTCTGCACACTGTGGCCAGCAAAGCGGGGACATGTCAGCTGGGACGCACACTGCAGGTATCTAGGCTGCAGCGCCCTGGAGGCCCTTGGTGGCTGCAGTCTGGAGGAGAGCTCGGAGCTGTGGGGCAGCACTTAGCTCGCCCTGGTGGAGCGGGGCACCTGCTCCCCTGACAGCCCCTTCCCGGAGACTGCTCCACTCATCCACTCACAGGCTCCACTGAGGGCCCCTCCTTGTCACAGCTGATGGGACTCAGGATGCAAACCTGCCTTGACAACAGGCCAGGCATAACAAATGCCAGTTAGTGAGTGCCCACTGTGGGCCAGGAACTGTGCTCAGTGTTACAGGTCCTCTCTCACTTCATCCTCCCCCAAACCATGTGAGATGCTATTATTTATCCCATTTCACAACTGTGGAGACTGATTGGAAGTCACTAAATACCTTGCCCAAGGTCAGAGGGCTGGCAAGGGGTGGAACTTGGATGTGAAGCCAGGTCGGCCAGGGTCAAGCCTGTCCCCCTGGACAAATGAACAAATGAATGAATATTTCTACCCCACCCACCAGCCATCATCTCTGCCGGGAAGTGGGCACCGAGAGAGTGAAAAACTGAGGCAGCTGGCCAGGCATAAAGACGGAGACCCAAGAACAGCTGGACAGTCTGCAGCTGCACTGTCTCTAACTCCCTGTGGTACCAAGTGTCAGCCACCACAATGACTACATGCACATTCAGACATAACCAAGGCCTGGGGCACTGGCAGAGTGCTCTCTGCCACCCCTGGGGTTCCTGATGCTCCTCTAAGCACTCCCTTGGGGAGCAGGAGAGGTTCAACAGCAAAAAACAGGAACCTCAGACCTATGGGGCCATGGCTGGACTCCAGGTCATCTTTAATCCTAAAGTGCCAGAACAGAACAACGTGACATCTGGGCCTTAAGATCTGTTACCACCAAACTAGAATCACTACTGGACTGTTAACTGACATAAATGCCTTTAAAATAAGCAGGTAACCCCAGTTATGAGATGAATGGTCAAGACAGCGACTTGGGCAAGAGAACCAGTAAATCCCTTGGACTTCTACCTTCTGTCCAGACTATCTGGAAACAGAAGCAGCTTATACTGCCAGAAAGAGCAGACCCTGAGCCACATTCCCTAGCGGGGAAGTCTCAAGCACCTAAGGCTCAGCACAGGAAGGGTCTGGGCTACAGAGCCACACTGTGAGCAAGTGGCCCTCAGCGCAGCAATCCAGGCAGCTGGTGTCGGGTGGTGCAGGAGAAAAGGATTTTTCCATCAAGTCAGTCTTGTCACTGTGGGTTAAACCGAGGGAACCAGGTCTCAGAGAGCTGTGACAGGCTGACATGCACTGTTAACCAAAGGGAAGGACTAGCAGGCAAGGGTTCCCAAACCAACTTCCTCCCAGACTCACCTTCTGGGAACACTGCCAGAGGCTTGCCTTTTCTGGCCCCTACTTAGAGAAATGCTGGGCAGGGAAAAGGGACCACAGAAGAGACAAGCAAAATACAAACCAAAGCAACCAAAGAGCAAGCAATTAAACCAACCAGGCCAACCCCCCACAGTGCTCCACAGTGGCCACATGGGCATTCCCAGGGGGTGTTGGGAGCACCCCCATACCTGGGAGGCGGTAGTGGAGAAAAGCTCCTTCCTCTCCTTGCCATGGTCCTGCAGGCGCCGCTGCCGGTGCTGCGACCAACTGGACTCCCCAGTGGCCAACCCGCTGAGGAGGCTCTTCCCATCCTTGGCCCCGGAAGTCGGGTCTTTTCCTTTGGTGGCCTAGAAGAAGCCAGCTGTGAAAAGTCTCTTCCTGGCTGCACAGCTGTGACTAACAGGCCAGAAGGAGGCAGGAGCAAGGGTGTGGCTTCTTTACCCAACTACTCCCAGGTAAGGTCCTCCCTAGCCGGGGTGAGCAGGTAGTTAAGAGGGTGCCAGCTCAGCCAGGTGGGCGAGGTCATAGCAGCCTGTTCTCTACTCCTCCTCCTTAAGAGCTGGATAGGTCACCTGCGCTCATCAGCCTGCAATACCTCTCACCTGGAAAGAGATAGCTAATCTCCTCGATCTAATCAGGGCAATTAACTGTAGTTAAAGCGGGGAGCCCAGCAGTTACTAAGCAATTAACTTTAGTTAAAGCCAAGGCCAGCACTTACTAAGCGATGACTAAGGCAGGCCAGGTCCTGCATTAGGCCTTCTAAACATCTACAAGCAACAACACATTTGGGCAGAAAAAAAAAATTATGCAACAAGCAATCACCTCTCTAAAGGGAAAAAGGAACACAATGCCCACTCTTGTTTTGGGCCAAGTGTAGGAGTAAGCCAGCTAATGTTAAGAAATACTGACGTATTTGAAAATGATTACTAGACAACCAGAAATTCTTAATAAAGATTGTTGGAAACCCAAGGACCTTTGAGTAAGATAAATTGGACGGGAAGAATCTGGTATTTTCTATCTCTCTTCATAAGAGTGATACAATCAACCTAGGTTATAGCAACAGGAAATGAATTCAATAACCGCCCCCGCCCCCCACATAGAGAGAAGTCATTTCCATTCTTCATCTAGAGCCTTTTCACAAGAAGCGGCCACCCCACCGCCTTTCCAGACTGTGTGGCACGGCTTTCCTCTTCTGACCTTATCCCCACAAATTGTGATGGTCAAACTGTTCCCTCACCCCCCTTTTTTCACACTCTTAGCAAAGGACAACAGATGCAACAGCCACGAAGGCTGGAGACCAGCCTCCTTGAAAAAACCATTTGTATGCAAGATCTAAGTGAAGAGAATAAACTCAACCCACGTCTACTTGCTTTTTAGTTCTACTTGTTATTTTTTATGTTAACAGTAAACAATTTAAAATAGGTTCCTCGAAACCCTGCAGCCATGTGAACAGTTAAGAAAGGAATTTTAAAGGACTATTACTTTATCTGGAACCTAGCTATGGCTGACCTATGGGGCATTTGCTATTTTTGGTTTCCTGTCTGAGGTGACCTCAAGTTATATCTACTTATGCTTATAGCAGATGCTGCTTCTTGCATCTCTGAATTCTGTTTATTTTAGAAGCCTCCTCGTCAAGATGAAATAAAACCAACAACAATAACAATAATAGCACCAATATATACAAGGGGACTTCAGAAAGTTTGTGGAAAAATAGAACTAAAGACAAAAATAAAAACAAACTTTATTTTTCAACATAAGCTCCATCAAGTTTAAGACACTTTTGTAAGTGATGATACCAGCCACTTAGTCTATCCCTAAAGAACTGAGGGTCCTGAGAATTTAACCATGTCAATGCAGTCTTTTTACATTATTAACTGAAGAAAAATGGGGGTCCCTTAAAGATTTTTTAAGATTAGGAAACGAAGAGAAGTCAGAAGGCACCAAATCAGGACTGTAAGGTGGATGCCTAATGATTCCCACTGAAACTTGTGCAAAATTGCCCTTGTTAGGAGAGGAATGAGCAGGAGCATTGTCGTGGTAGAGAAGGACTCTCTCATGAACCTTTCCCAAGTGTTTTTCTACTAAAACTGACTTTCTCAAAACACTCTTGCAGTGAGCAGATGTTATGATTCTCCGGCCCTCCAGAAAGTCAACAAGCAAAATGCCTTGAGCATCCCAAAAAACCGCTGCCATGCCCTTTGCTCTTGACCTGTCTGCTTTTGCTTCCCCCTCTTGGTGGCCACGGCTCCACTGTGCTTTGTCTTCAGGATCGTACTGGTAAAGCCATGTTTCAGCTCCACTTACAGTTCTTTGAAGAAATGCTTCAGGATCTTGATCCCACTGGTTTAAAATTTCCATTGACAGCTCTGCTCTTGTCTGCAGCTGATCTGGATGCAACAGTTTTGGCACCCATCGAGCAGAAGGTTTGTTCAGCTGTAATTGTTCGGTCAGAATTGTGTAAGCTGAACCAACTGAGACGTCTGTGTTCCTGTTGTTAATCATCAGTCCTCTTTAATTAGGGCTTGAACAAGATTAATTTTTTTTCCTTGCAAATTGATGTGGATTATCTGCCACTGTGGGCTTCATCTTCTACATCATCTTGTCC